CCTTGAGCAACACTTCAGTATAGAGCGTCTTCCCTTGAGCAACACTTACAATGTAGACTAATCCTAACTGCATTTATTGAGAATATTAAGCCATCCACTTACAGACAGCATAGATCAATCCTAATCCTCCCTTAGAGTCTTAAGGTACCTATCAATGATGTCTACATTAAAACATGGCACAATTTCAGCCAATGGGTGCAGAAGGAACTTTAGGCTATGTTTGATTTGATGGAATTACCATTTGTTGGTCAATGAATAAAATAAGATAAAATGAAGTGCCTGACCCTCCAGGAATAAGCTAGGAAATGTTGCTCATTTTCCTTTTTAGATTTTGGAATGTGACAGGAATAGTCATTAATACTTTCTCCGCAGGTATTAATAATTCCTATCTCATTCACTAATTTATAAAAAAATATCCAACCTTATTCTTATCTTCTAGACTTTGAAATACCCTTCTTTATCTTGCCCTACTTTTACATATTGAACAAGGAATAGTCATTCCACCCAATTGAACAAGAAAAAGAAATTGAGTGTACTCCAATAAATTGTGTTAATCACTATATAGCTTTTATAGGCCAAATCAGTGTAACAGCTAAGATGGACCATTTTGTATTATAGTCTTAACAGAATAATGAAAGGGAAGCTGTCTTATCAAATAGAAAAATAAAAATTTAAAGAATATATGACAAATAAAATTAATGCTTTAAAACAGATTTTTGAAATATACCTCTGCAAATTTTAAATCGGCATCACTGATCATTCGGTCTCCCCACAGCATCACCAACATAATGGATCCACAATGCAGGAAAAGATAAGCTTTGCCATATCATTGTTCTTAGGTTAAAAAGTAGAGAAACCACATGGAGATTGTAATTAGTCAGAGAAATGCAAATGAAGTAACCTGGATTGAGACCTTCACTTGATGAAATTATTGAGACGTCCAGTTTTGGAGCCCACAGCTATCTGTTTACTTATTCTTCCAGCGTTCAATATTGTATTCATTGGTAAAGATTAACTGCTAATGGTAGAAACCGAGTTTCAATTTCCAGTTGAAAAGAGTAGTCAATAAGTAAGGGCGGTTCAAAATCCATGATTCTTTTTATTTTCTGTGACATGATTAGGAAAATAATTAGATAGAAGACAAGATACAATCTGAAACTGAGGACCTAAAAAAACACAGATGGTTGTTGTCTTTTATGACACCTCCCCACCATGACCACTCTATATCACCCCAGAACTAATGTAAGTTTCAGTTCACGCTTTTTTGGAGACTCCAAGCCTTAATCGGAAGTCCTCCTCCATAAGGGGAAGACCATCCCGCAACTTGACTTTTGGCTCCCAACCTAGCAATTCTTTTGCCTTTGTGACGTCAGGCTTCCTCTGTCGTGGATCATCAGGAGTGTTCTCCACCATCCTTATCTCCACATCAGGATTAATAAGCTGCAAACACAACGTCGTCAATCATTTAGTATAGCACTCAAAACTTTACAAGAACTGCAATGCACTCTCGTGAGTCCCCTCGGACCATTTTTCTCTTATCAGAGTTAAAAGGAAGGTATGGATTATTGCTCACGTGACTTTTGACAGAGAAAAAAAAGTATGGGAGAATGAAGAATTTAAATGGTGTCCAACCTGTGTTCGTGAATTAAAACTCAGAGAAAATAAAGTGGGACATCCGAAAGGAAAAGAAACAAAAACCAGCTTCTATCCATCATTATATAGTCTGCAGCGTCACTGATAATGAAAACAGAATAACTTCAGAAAGTTTTCATTATTCATTAGTTAAGAAAATAATCCGATACTGCACAACTCCCAATCACAACATAATACAAGAGTTTAAAATCCAAAAATGAAAACACAAAAATAAATAAATAAATAAATTCCAGCTTCTTACCTGTCTATGAATCAGATCACCAGCCAAAGAATATGTGCCGACAGCCGCTACCCTAATCTCGTCAAAATCCAGCAACTAGACGACAGGTTGGGTTGGATCTTCAACTTGCGTTCATCCAGATCAGACCACCCAAGGACGAGAAAAAGATTTTAGTTGGCGATGTCAAGAGAGTGGGCGTCCAGAGCGCAAAGGACCGTCAGCCATCCTGACCAGATGCGTCATCGCTCAGCCCCTCACAGGCGATACAATTGCAATTTTGCAACCCACATCC